AGTTGCTTTTCCGAGCTTGCAACTCAGCCGGTGCATCGGTGTCCAACTGGAAAAGAGGGGTGTCAGCGGCGATCACCCAAAGGATGGTTTGCTGTTGGCTAACTGCTACTTCACGAGCTCTGAGATTAGTGGCTATGTATTTGGCTGCGTTGAGACCGTGCATGAATGGTTGCGCCGCAAATTTCGCGGACTTTGGATCCCGACCTAGCATGCACCTGCGTCGTCTTTCGATTCGGCACTGGGGACATTCTTGTTCTAAGCGATCTTCCCAAGGTAGATGTGGAGTTGTTGCCCATGCCAGGGGGAGGGTCTGGCAGGCAGCCGTGCCGCAGAGGCAAGACTTGGTGTCGAAGTCCCACGCACCTGGGTGCCGGGTCGGAAACCCATGGAGAAAGCACCAGACATCCTGCGACATGGAACCGTGGCGTGCTTGTTTCAAGACTAGGCTTAGCCAGGGGTCTACGCAACGTTGCTCGGTGGTCAACTCGAAGAGTGTGTGGATGCCGGATTCAGTGCGTGACCACAAGAGCTTTTGGAGCCCGGCCACCTGGCACGAAGTGCCCCCTGCGAAGGGGTTTTGGAAAATGGCAGTGGCCTTCACGGGTGGAAATTGCCAGAGATCGCCTGTCAGGATGAGGTTGAGGCCACCGAACGGTCGCGCCTCGCCCCTGCCATTGTTCTTCCAAGCGCCTTTTGTTCGGGTGGCTTGGGTGACCTTTTTTTCGAGTGTGGCTAAGACTTCCAGGCCGACCGTGGAAATTTCGTCTAGAGTCTAGCGCGAGCCAACGCAACCGTTGGTACTGGATGAATTGGTCGGGCCCCCTCTCTCGTTCGCCGCCTTGGCCTTTGGCTTTGATGCGAATGTTCGCGAACGCATGCAGCGTCATGCCCTGAATGAGCGCGGCCTGGGTATTTTGAGCGGCTAGATAGACGAATTCTGTCTGGTGGCGCCACCCGCAGAGCTCCTCTAAGAATCGTCGGAGCCACTTCAACGTTTGACTTTTTCCTGCGCCGGGGACTCCATGGCAAATCCCTCTCCATGGTTCGCTCTCGCCTATCCGCTGGGTCTGTTCCTCGGTGGTTTCTGTTAGGCAGCGGTTTATGATGGCTTGCAGGAACTGGCTCTGTTCGGGCGTGGGCAGGGGCTCGGTGCGTCGGTTGCACTCTCCGTGCGCGCCGCTGCGTCTCCGGTCTCCATGGCTGAGACCGAAGGGAAAAACAAAAAAAAGAGGTCGAGTGTGCCTCTAACGCTAGCGGTCTCCTAGCTCCTCTTGCGCTCTACCCTTTGCCGTCCTATCACTCTAAGAGTTCGGCGCTGGTTGCTTCTGGTGTCTTTGCGTTGGAGGATTTGTCCCTCTGGCTTGCACGTGGGAAAAAAATTACACCGGCGAGGGACCCCAAATAGTGTAAAGAGGAACAGATGGAACATGGCATCACGTGGAAGGAAAGAAGGAGCACACAGATGAAAGCGCAAATATGAGAGGAGACATACAAGAGCACAAATATGAGAGCGCACAGATGAGAGCAGCAGATGCGGAAGCATAAAAGTGGTGGTGGTGGTGGTGATGGTCATGGTACTGGTGGTGGTGAAGGTGGCGCTGACGGTGGTGGTCGAGCCAACAACTTCCAAAACGGCAAGTTCATTGAAATTCAAAACCCTTCAAGAACATCTGCGCATCGAGATTCACGAGCACAAATGAGAGCACACATATGAGAGCATAT